ACTACCTCACCATGAACCTATCTACATCTGCTTGCAGACTTGAAAATGTATGAAATAATAGTATCCTGTAATTATATTGCATCATTCTAAACATAACTTTAAGACTTGGATTAACAGAATTTTCAGACTCAGATTATACCTGCTAGTAGATACTTGTTCATACAACAAAAGTGAAGCTTATACTGTGCTTCCCTGTCTTTTGGGTGTTTCTCCAGAGAATGCTTATTGTATATTTCTACTGCCTATTGTATACACCAGCTGCATATCAGCTAATAAATGGTGTCCAAAAAGTGTCAGCTGCTGCTTGAGTCAGGGAGTGAATGCAATTAGAGATGATCTGGTGACAGCTTGACACTTATGATGGCAATGTTTAAATTTTTAATCAGACATGCAACACAAAAACCACACAATTTAGACTGTTCTTGAAAACTAGACCAGTATACTACACTAACATCTTCTTTTATCTGGGAGATGCAAAGACCAGTGTGTGGGCAGTAGCCCAAATGGACTGACTGCTTTTTGTAAAGTATCTGAAACTAGTTCCTGAAACATATTCTGCAGCCAGTAGCTGTGAGGAGACCTGCTTTTTAAGTCAGTAAGGAATGTTATTCCTTTATAGCAGTTCGTTGCTTTTATACTGAAACATCAGTATGCATAAACATGCAAAATAGATAAAATAAAGGGCCTGATTACTACTTTCACTACGTATATGATTAGTTCCCCTTTAATACATTTCTATCTACCAATTTCTACTGGATGTCAAATGTCTTTGCAGATATACTGTATCAAATCAACTTATAAATTATAATTTTAAAACTTTGGACACAATCATTAAGCAAAATATATCAAGTCCACTTAGTAGAAAAATTACTCTGTATGAATTAGTAATCATGAGAAGCAAAAAAATGAAAAAAACTGTGCCAAGTTCAAATTAAATGTAGTCTATTCCTAGGGCTACATGACCAGATCCTACCCAACATCAGATACATTTTGAATACACAGCATTTACTTAGTTCTAAGATGACCTTCTTCTTCTCTTTTACAAATTACAAATCCAAAGGTGATCTGTATTTGTTCATCCAGTACATATTTCTTAGAACTACCTTACTTCTATCCTGCATTTGCATTGCATTATAGTCCAGCTTAAATAGGGTGCAAGTGAACAAGTTATGTATGTTTGCTGCTCCACGCTGGCTACCTCTGTACATGTTCTTTTAATGTAGTATAATTTAAAGTACCTTACTGAAAGATGTCTGTAATATTGCATCCATGTACCTGCACAGTGTAGTTACTGTTTACAGCAATTTAGTTCTAACTGGCCATCTAGGACAGGGAATAAAATACATTAGTTGAAGCTGCAGGAATAATTTGGGATAAGGGACCTTAGCTGGATTTTGGCCAAGAGGTTGAATTTATCTTTATTCTCGTGAAAAATACCATTGGCTCAATGTAATTTTGACTCTTCATTCTCTCTTGAAGAGATAGGTTTTCCAGCAAAATGATAGATTTTTACTGTCCCAGGGGCATGAACACTATTTTTGGACTGACAGGCAGTCTCTGCACTTTCTCTTTACATAAAAGTGATTTTTTTTTTTTTTTTTTTTTTCCTAAGCATCAATGGGCTGATCTTAGTCTTGGGTTTATCCTGTATTTGGATAAACATGAAACATACCCTCAGAATGTGGACAATAGTACCCTGTCCCCTGTTAACCATTTGCCAGTCAAGTCTGGAAGGTGTGAGTACTGTGTAATATTTGCAGAAGGTATCAGTGCCTAAAAACCAGCAATGTTATTGGTACCTCATCTCTGATAAGAACATCTCCATTTTACCCATTACATAAGTTTGTTTCAAAGGGTCATTAAGAATCCCAGAGCCAGGATATCATAGTTATTTATCTCACTTGTGAGACACTGTAAAAAAGGATAAATCAATATAGGAAATTTTATAGCTGGCTGAAAAGATAATACAGTCTCTCTTCCTGGAGTGACCTACATTTTCAATTAACTTACCTAGCAATCCTACGCGTATGATCGCATGTGTTGTATGTGACCCATGTTAGACTGAGACAATACAGTCATCCTATCCAGACCCAATATACACTGAAAAGCAGGGAGAAGGGTCAGAAAACTATTCATGGTGTTCCACTTGATTAGCATTCACTCTTAGAGTTCTGTTTTCCGTACCTTCACTAATTCAATGATGTGTTCCTTGGTCTGAGATCCCCTCATTGTTTTCTACTGGATATACAGAGCACCAAACCTGGCAGAACTTCCATGGGTGAGTGGTGTGATATAGCTGAAGAATGTGAGTGAGAATTTGTTTGGGAATATCTGCAAAATGTTATCGCCTTTTTCTAGAGTCAGAAATATATCTGTCCAGACCTTTCTCAGCTACATGATCTTGACACTGTGCCTGAAGTTATCTCGACATTCATGAATTAATTTCAGATTCACTTTCTCATTTCACGCTGTTAAGTGAACACTTTGCTGCCTGCACTCACCATTTCCTGGGTATTTTGCTGTGCTACACTTGTCAGGGAGCCACTGCATACCTTTTTCTCTCTCAGCAGTGTTACTGAGGAATATAGTTTTGAAACTGCGGTGTGAACAGCTCTGTAAGTTTATCTCTCTGTCACTGATTTCACATTAAAAAGACAAGCCTAACACAACTGAATGTCAATATACGAACAGCCAGTAGTCAAACGAGAACGAACCAACAGCCACACAAGATTTATGGAAGTTAAAAAGTTTCTTTCTGTCCAGCAGCTACAGCCTGTTGTCTCTGTATAAGTTCTGTGGCCAAAGCCACAGACAATTCTCTTGTCTTACCTGGGAGCAAACTTTTCCCAGGGGAAGCAGTATATTATATACGAACATCTAGAAAACAGATCTGCTGTTAAAATCTTCAAGAATTGAAACTCAGAATGATGTGCAGTCTCACCAAAAGGAGAAGTAAAAATAATGAGAAATAACGCAAGCATTAACCAATCACACCACTTATTTTAAACCTAAGCATTACGCAGCACACTTGTTACTCTGTGCGGTGGGGAAGGAGTGTATCAAGAATGTACTTATTTCCTTCAGGATTATAATTCAATTTGGAAACTAACATGATCATAAAATATACATGCTAGGGTTTACTTTTAGGTCAGAGGCATATGTTAAAAAAGATTGCTACCCCAGATTTTAAAAACATTAACCTGAGTCATGTAACACAACCTCATTTTGATCATTCTGAGTTTAGAAAATGTGCAATTACTGACACTGGCAAGAAGTCGCACCAAGGCCAAATGAGATTAATAAGAAATAAAACAGCATGTCAGTAGCATAATAGAAACTGAAATGAATAATCAAATGGACAGAACATTCATGCAGCCTAAGCAGCAAAGTCCAAATAAATGGACTTGAAAGACACAAGAAAACTCTATAGTAAGCACTTAAATCATCAATTTGAAAAGGTTTCCTGTGCAGAATGTTGCAATAAGTTTCATAATGCTTAAAATATAAAGTGATTTCTTAGCTTTCACTGCTGACCTTAGCACAATAATAAATCTGCAAAAATCACAAAGTAGGAAAAGATTGGTTTGAAACCTCTGGGCAGATGTATTAATAGAAAGGACTCATTCCATGTTCATTTTCTACACTGCCCAAACTTCAGACACTTCTTCAGTGTCTCTTCTGGTGGTAGCAGGTCAGAATTCTAGAATGTGAAGCTGAACAGCTGCAGCAACACTCTCATGTTTTTGGATGTTGGGTTACAACACCTACAAACAGTGGTATGCTTACAGGAAACATAATAAATGAACAATGGCTCCCACTGAGAACATCTATCAACTACTGCAGCACTAAAGATGCTAACTTCCAGGTTATTTGAAGGCATAGTTTATCATAACTAGTTAATGTAACCAGTGATATACTCTTATCTACTTATATCCACCAGTACCTGTGCTCATTCAAAAATATTTAAAGAAAGTAAACACTTTCATTATTCTGGAGACAGTTTCCATTTTTTTCCTCCTCAGTGTTCTCCAAAAAAACGTACCTTTCAAATATACAAGCAGAATATCTACACGTGTACCAGGAATTCAGTGGAAGAAAGGGAGAAAATGTACAGCACCTACATAATTGACCAAAGCCTGTAACTTGAAAATTTCTCTACCATTTCCATCAGTGGCAGCATGACAATGCAAATCAGCATGAGTGTGAGTTGAACAAGCACAAGTAAAGTGAAATAGTCAGCAATATCTATTCTGCATGGAAGTGAGACTTAAGCCCTGTTTAAGCACACTTATGAAAGCTTAAGAAGGAACATAGCCTAGGCAAAAGAGAGATGGTCTCCTGCTACATATCACATCAATACATTTTTAGACACTTTACATTAATTTTTACACTCTTGTCCAGAAAAGATTTACTGTTTAAGAACATTTTGTTGAAAGTAACATTGATATAAATGATTCATATGTACTGTCCAATTATTTAAATGTTTAGGATTAAGACAGGAGGAGAGACTGAAGGATGTTTTCAAACTACCAAAATACTGCTCAAATCCCTATGCCTAAGATGACAGGAAAAGGAAGGTAGGGGTCTAGTTAGGTCTCTGGAAAGAGTATCAAGAGCCCCACCAAAGAGTGGAACAGGTAGCTAAAAGGAAACAGGTGCAGAAGTGTGGATTGCACTCATTAAAATTTAGGCCATCCAAACCCAGCACTTGTTTTCTCTGTGGCACAGCACAGTGGATGAAATTCTGTGGCCTACTTGTGCATAAGGTTGAAAAAGATGACTGCAATGGCCTGTTTTGGCCTTCAATCCTTGTGTCTGATTTTCCTTTAGGCTATGCTTTCCCACTGCTCTGGCAGTAAATAGCCTATATTTAAGCATACTTAAAAGCATTTTTCTACTGCTACAGCAGAGTAATGGGGTTTCAGAATAAACAAAACTCATATCCTCAGATTCTTCACAGCTTTAAATGTTGAAAGCTTTTTTCAAGGAAGCTCTCTTACCTCTTTTTCCATTTGAAGCCCTTCTGCTCTGATATTTCTCTCAAATACTTCCCTCTTTTCTGTCTGTGGATTGGACTTTCTATACACCAGGATGTAGTCAATCCGACATTTCCCATCTCTAAAATACAGTCCATTGGTCTTGTTCTTATCAGGTACCTCCTGTAAAGAGAAAGTCAAACATTTTAGTAATGTTAATTTGCCTTGGTAATTACTGCACTGCTGTTTCCATCATGAGTTTTCAGTAATATTCAACAAGAAAGATAAGGAATCGGAACAAGCTGTTCAAGTTTTTAGGTTCTTTACATATGGTGCCTCTGAGGTCATCTGAAAGGAGTACAGACTTCTCCACCTCAAAATCAGGAGGTCTTCTTAGGCAGATGTTTGGTTGTATAGGCATGGCATAGGAGAGAATAGAGAACACAAGCCAACATTCCTCCCCCACCTCCATCCATAAAAGTAGGAGTAACTTCTAACATATAAAGTAAAGCAGAGAATAGTGTTACTGAGGAGTAAATTTCAAAATTAAGAACTTAGTATGGTAAGAACAAAATTAAGAACTTAGTCTTTGTACATGTGAGAAGAATAAACAATGACATTAGCATTTAGTGTAGTGAGAAAAACTGAAAAGTGGCACAAAGATTCTCATTGCTTTGCAATGACTCTAGTACCTCTGACTCACAGGACAGACAATAATATGAAGGTCCTGTACCTACCTCACCATACCTCATCTAACTACAGAATATTCTTTGCCTAAAGAACAGCTGAGGAAATGCTGTGGATTTATCTGAAAATAGTTCCTGGTGTATGGTCTAGCAGTACATAAACACAATAATTACTGTTTCTTGGCTATTTCCTGCAAAGAACATGTCTGATCAAATGTTTGCTCTGACAGAAAGAAAACAACTGGATTTCACTGTTAATAAGGGGTCAAGCAGATCCCTCTCCTGAGATCTAAAAAAGAAAACTGCTGGTCTTTTTCCGGATATTCATGAGATGAAACTCTCTACAGATCCTCCTCACAATTTAACACTTCCACATAATACAAATAATGCCCAGAGGTTAAGCTTTAATTTTCAGATGAGTTGAAATTGTCTGGCAGTTTGCAGGCTGGTGTTCTGTACAAAAAAAAAATGTACACTGTAAATGATATATGGGAACAAACAACACTCCCTCAGAGCAGCTTAATGGGCAGGGACCTTCAGGGACCTCAAGATCAGTCAAGCTCCAAGCTGAAAGGAGGGTCAGGCTAATTTCTCTCTGTTTATCCAGATTTTGCTCAACCATTCCTGTCAGAAATATCCATACCCTAAAATATATGGTCAAATCTCTGAAAAAAATATTTTGCCCTTCCCATCTGGGAAAAATAGGGATTTTTCAAAATATTTTCTCCATAGGAGAACTGCTGCTGAATTTAAGTTGCAAAAAGGGAACACAGTAATAGAAAAAAAATATTCTTATGGACAACACTCCCCCCCAGTATTCTCATTCAAAGATTTTAGTGTAAGCTATCTTCCTGACTTTCATCAGGCATTTTGATTAAATGGAAAAAACAATGAAAGCATCCCAAATGTCCTATGCTCTTGGTACATCCAGCTTACTGAAGGCAGAAAGGGGATTTTTTTCTAAGATTCTTTTATTACAGTGCCTGACTCCTGACACAGCTTAATGCAGACTTGATATAGTAGAACATTTCTGAACTGAAAAAGAAGGCAAGAAAAAAGATTTAAGCCCTAAGGAAATAACAGTAACAAACCATTTATACCTATACTGCATATCATGCTGACAAATGAAATTATCACAATATCAGAAGTATTTTTCACAGAGCATTAAATATGAAAATAGCTCAGGAAGCAGAGTTTATTTTTTTTTCCATAAAAACATCTATGTTGAGAAGATGTAAAAAACCCCATGAGAGTATTTCAGGTTATTTAAATAAAGGAAAGGTGCAGTAGGAGATTTAGAGGCAATGGGTCAGCTTGATGGTCCTGCTCTGATTTCTAAGCCTCCTGATAAGCTATCCTTCTTGTTCTGTAGGTCCCAGAGTCACTATGTATATTTTAGCACATAAAGTGGTGTAATAGGGAAGGATCTGTAGAGCAAAACAATCTGTGCTGAGGATCTGCTGTCCACACCATGTAGGCTTGAGGGCTTACTTTGGGCCCATGCTAGTCTGGTCCAGGAGACTCACTGGAGTACATCTCACAATTTATTTGTATCCAGAAGGATTCCAAGTTTAAAACTCAACACTGCTCTGGAATGCAAACAAAACATAGGTAGGAGCATTTGAGAGATTCACTTCAAATGTATGCTCCTGATCTGAACTAAAATGCCAGCGCAGACCCATCCAGAGAGTACCATGTGTCTTTCAGTAGTAACCCCACTGCCATGTGTCTTTCAGTAGTAACCCCACTGGAAAAATAGATTTACCTTGTATGCTTCCTACATTTAATCTTTCTCTGAAGACAAGTAGTTTGCCCTACACTGATTTATCAGTGCATGTAGAACCTTATATTAAAGAGCATTTGTGAGATTTAGCCAAGTTATTTGGCATGTAGGTCTTATTCCCATGTAAATATGACTTCTTGAGACAACTACTTTCATTTGGACTTGTCAAACACTAACTACAGTACTGTAATTTTCTGCTCAGAAAGGCACCTTGGACACCCTTACCTGTACTTGGAGGACCTTTGGTCATGTCCAGACTGATAAACCCTACTAGACTGGTATGGCCTCTGGGAAGGAACCCTTTCTGTTGCTCACTGTTGTCACCAGCAAGGAGACTTAACAGACTGAGTCTGGACTTACAAGAACTCTGAGGATCTAAGATGATATGGAGCCAGTGAGGGCTGGCCCAGCAGTATCAGGAAACAGCAGCTGTGGGGCTTCTGCATTGTCCACATTATTTTGCCTCATACTATTCTAGACAGAGACTTTTCTACTACCTTGACCTTTGCTGACCCTTCTCCAGACATTGCATCTCCTTTCCCTATGTTATAGCTTCAAAATTTAGTCTTCCTAAACTGATTAAAAATATATCTAAAAGGTGGTCTGACTGCAGTTTTTGGTGGGAAAGTGGTTTAGTCATGTATGTCGAATCTCCATTCCTTCATCTGAAAATGGATGCTGGAAGAAAGTAGAAGAATAGGGAAGCCTTCACTCTAGCAATAAGTTTAGTATTTATGGCTATCTTTGCAGCTTTATTTGGAATACACATATCTGAAGATGTATAATTGGGAATTCTTTTCCAAGGAACACAGCAGTTTTTATATTCTCGGGCACACAATCAGGAGCCATCAGCATTCATAGACATGTAACTCATACATGCTAGGACAGCTTTAGGCTAAAGGCCTTACCTAAATGTTTCACTATCCAGAATGAGAGTATTTGTAACCTTAACAGCTATAGAGATGTTAAATGGAACTTTTAAACAAAAGTTAGGGAAATCGAGGAAATCTGAAACTTTACATGCAGGTCTTTAAAAAAATACATTAGAAGGGACTCCAGTGATCACTAATATAATGACAGTCTTCTTCATTCCTAATTATTTCCATACCTGGTTATTATCAGTATGAATGTTCAGTGAAGGCAGCATCTTTGAATTCTAAAGAGATTGCCTTTTCCTGTTGTTTGTGGCTAGTTGAAATTAGAGTTCCCTGCATGTGACTTCACAGCTGGTGGAGGAGTTAATACCTGCATCACTAACAGTGATAACTTATGAACCTGTGCAGAAAAAGAGAAACTCAGAACCACCCAGTTTTTAAGGCACAGTTCTAATCAAAGAACAAGTATATTTTCTCTGTGTGTTCTTTTTAAATATCCTTTTATCCATTTAGATTATAATTTTGTGGAGGCTGCAACTTTATTTTTCCATGTATCTTCATTGATTTGTATATTCTTGACATCATAATATATTTAATTACATGGATCTTCTCTAGAAAATTAAATTATCTGGGCTGCAAAATCAAGTGCTCAAAGGTTAAGAAGTAACATTTGTAGTTTTCTTTGAAAGCTTAGATAATCTCTTTCTATATCCATCCTGATCACTGAAGACGACAGGGATTTGGTGAAAAAACATTATGTAGTTATTTTGTATTCTGGTAAATGCACACAAGAAAACTGAGCTGAAATTGCACAAGCTAACATAAGTGCCATAGATAACATCAGAATTTTTATTTTGCAATATGAATACCTTTTTTCTGCCATAATCCTCAGTACAAGTTCCAATTTATAAAAGAGATTGTTAAAATAAACTATTCTGTACAATGTTAATAACACTGCCCCCTAAATATCAACAGTTTGACACCTAAAGTGAAGACTGTAGGAGTGACTCTTACAATTTTAATTTCAAAACTACCTACATTAGCTAGAATGTAAAGAATAGGACATATAAACTCATTTAAGTAGAAGTCAAATTTTGTCCCAGTTCCATCACTCTCCCTCGTTTGAGTAAGCAAGTCTGATTTATTACTCCATAGAAAGAAAGGCAGAATGGATGCGTCCCTAGAATATAGATCCTGAATAATTTTTCCTCTAATTTTTACCTTCTTTTTGCTTCTACTCCAGTTGTCATAAAAAGAAACCTCAGTGGAAGTAATATAATATTTTAATAATAATATGTCCCTGGATTTAAATTGTAAAGTGTATATCTAATTATTATATTACTATATGTAAAAAAGTATTTTAATCAATGCACACAAAGGGCAATATGATTTTCAATTTGCTCAGACTGCAGCTGTGTTTGAATGAAACATAAAACGAAGAAAAAACCCCCCAATCTTTAGCCAAAGGACAAGCTGAATCCCAATCTGGCTCTGCATCTGTTAAAGAACTGTTGATAAAACTTCATATGTAAAGTCTTCATTGGATCTTCTGGCTGAGCTCAAACAGTTGAAGCAAACAATATTTCAACTTGTCAGCTAAACAAAAGTGATAAGAAACCTTTGGTATGTCCTTGTAAATTTTTTTGATTGTAAATTCATTTTAATGAATTCATCCAGAAATCATGTTAAATTATTTTGCTGCAATGTTAGCTTCAAAACTAAACCAACCAAACATCAATACATTCAGAGATAATTTTCACTGGTGCAGGATCCCCTGTCCTGATAATATTAAGGAGGATTTACAGGCTCTTTTAGCTACTAAATTAAACTGAAAAACTGAAAGAAAGCTTAAAGCTTCAGAGTTCACCCCACCACCATATAACTATGCTCCCATATTTAGCTGTACAAACTGTACAACATGTAAACAGTGTATCTTTTCCTTCTGGAATTAAGCAGGTGCCAAATATTTTGAAATTTTTTTTGTAGGCTACAGCATCCCACAGCTCCCATTAAGATTTTCAGTCTTCTGTTCTTTTCCCCTCTCACACATATATATGACTCACATTGCTATTTTCCTCTGAGTTTATGCCAAAAAAAAAAAAAAAAGAATCTGTTCACCTAGGAAAATATTCTTCAGATGTTTTCCCTTCTCTTTTAAAAAATAAATATATCAAAGAGGAAAAAAAGGCTTTTCAATATTGTTTTTTGTTGTATTGTTATATCAACAGCAGCATATGTTGCTCTATATTATCCTCTGACCTTTGGACCACTTTCCATTCATCTTTCCTCTTCAACTTGCAAAGATCACATGCCTATCACCTGCACCCTTTTGTTAAAGACCGTATGGTATATGATCCCAAAGTGTAACACAGGAATATCATGTCAGATTAACTTATTACAGTGCAAGCAGGCAAAGAGGGCCCTTTGTAAGTTGTGTGGGAAGCTGGGGAGGAGCGATGAGTGAAGGGGAAGTTGAAATTGTGAGCAAGGTCATATATATCCCTGAGTGCCCTGTATTTTGCCACTTTAATTATCTGTCTAAACATTGCAGGAGTGCAGCTCTCTATGGGCTGAATTTCTAACACAAGGAAAATCTCTGACTCCTCAGTAGTGTTTCACAAAAGAACTTGCACCACAAAACCCTCTAGCTCCTGAAAAAAAACATAATCTGTAATTATATCTTCTTACCTTCACATAAACTAGTAAACAAAACAGTATCAGGACAGAAGCTGCAACAATATCTTACATTTCTTCAAGCTTTTTAGTAGTTAGTATGGTCCCTGCCAGTTCTGATCTATGCTAGTCAGCCCCATGCCAAACAATCCTCAGACACAGCTCACAGGCGACATCAGACTATTCCAGTAAGTAGTATGGATGCAGCTGCATCCCTGAGTTGGGGGAAAGGAGAAAAGTCCCTGGTCTCTTCTCTTCACTCTGTGAGGAGATAGCCCTAACCATCCACGGTTTGTAGGGCAGTTGGAGGGAAAGTTAAAGGGTATCATGTTCCTTTCTACACAAAAGAGACAAAAAAGAATTTAGGCCCAAATTTTCATCACGGGTGTATGATGGTTTGCCTGTTTTAAGACATAATTTAAAAGGGACTATGTGCTGAATGATTCCTCCCTAGTATCTTCTCTGAAACACCATTATGTACCATCAGGGCAGTTGTTCTTCACTGGAAGGGGATGTGTCACATACCTGACAACCAATGCTTCGTGTGAGAGATTTATGATAAATTTTCCTCCCCTCTCCTTACCCCCAAAAGATTAATGTACAGAAAACTTCTCCATTATTTTCAGAAGCAGTGAAGCATTAGACTTGGATAGTTCAGAAAACAAGCAGACAGCAAAGGTATGTATAGACTTTTCACTGAAGGTGCATGAAATCAATAAAACCTCCTTCTAACTTGAGATGTTTTATACTTCAGCATTATAATGTTAGAATGGAAAACCAGTCCCCATGGGAAAGGTCAGACACAAGTTGACTTGCAGAGAATGAGATTTTAAATTAAATTACATTTATTCCCTTTTTATAATGGTCATTATTAATTCTTATATTAATAATTCTGTGTGTTCTTACCTCTCCCACAACTTCCAACCTGCTGGCATCATCAGAAGTACTGGTCAAGTTACCATGATGAAGCAGGGAGTCATCATCTTTGGAAGGGCTGTTCACACCTTCTAACTCATCAAAAAAAATGTTGACATCCTTAGCTACTAAAAACAACAACAAAAATACATTCAAATCACCATTGAACCAAATGAAGACACCAGGTGTAACACATTATCAACAATCTCACTTTTTTAGTTCTGTCATAAGTATCTATATACTATGTTAAGTTTAAAATCTGATGCACATTGGTGGAGTGCTTTCTTCACCAGTGAGCCACACAGAGATTTAAGATACCATAATACCTCTCCAATGAAAAATAACCAATCTTCTGTCACAATAAAACATGTGTTAGCTATCTCCTCAGCTTCTCTTGGGGTGACTTAAACAATTACCTTCTGGATTAGTATGGTCTCTGAAAATTTATTATTATAAAAAAGCAGATTTTTAACCTGTTACATAAAGATTCAAATTAGAAGTTGTACAGACCTGGGGGGCAGCCAGAGGCAGACCACCTCAAGTAGATACTGTTACTTGAAAGGCATTGAATAAACGACCCTGGTCAGAAGTTCTGTCTTTGAACAATTTGGCAAGTTTTGATGCATATAAATCTGGCATGTTCAGATCTACCCACTGCACATCCCTCAGTCATGCATGAAGCAATAGCTTAAATCTACAGGATGCTGTAGTAAACCCAACCCTGGTAAAAAAGAAAGAGGTGTAAGGACCTGGAGCACATTCCTCCATTGCTAGGATCTGGCAGTGGGGCTTGGGGCCAAGGCAGAGCCAGCACAGCCAAGGGTGGCCCCTTCCCTCTGGTGTCTGTGGGGAGAGACCCCCAGAGAGCGCTGCAGGGAGGCCCTGCCTGCCCATCCCAAGGATGTGTCTGACGCTGGATCTCCTCGGTGGGCCTGATCCTGTTGTCAACCCACAGGCTGACATCTTGGCCTGGCCTTGGCCCATTCCCCTCCGGGGCAGGGTCTGACAGCCCGGGTCTTGTCCTACTGCCCGAGCTGGGGGGGAAGTTGAGGATCAAGCTTCAGCTGTGGATAGATTTAATCTCTCCAACCTCATGTTTCACAGGCAAAATCCAGAATTATGACAGTAGAGTCGTAACTGTTGGAAGGGACGCCCAGAGGTCACCTACTGAGTCTCTTCCCCTGACTAGAGCAGGATCAAATATCTATTACTCTTGACAGAAATTTGTCCAATCCACCATTTCTCACATTTTTTTGCAAATTAAACTGACTTTTGGAATCATTTTTCTTTTGAGCAATAACCTTCTGATCCTTTTGCTTCTCCACAACTCCCCTAACTTGGCGACAGGCAGTTGTAATTCTTGTTGATAAGAATTTATATTAACAGGGAACAACCAAAAATCTCTAACGGCTGGCAGGAACTTAGTTCCATTTCTATATATTGGCTGCAGTAGTTAGAATCCATTGCCCAACTGTGGAGAGACTGAATAGCTGCCAGAAATTAAAGGCCATCAACTGTTCCCAGCCATCATGAGCATTCTGTAACCTCTTCACCTTTCCCTTCTTCAGGGACTATAGCCCAGTTTAAGAAACCTTTTTTAAAAAATCTGTGATGCTACCAACTCCACAGTCTCAGCAGGTGGCCTGTTTTTCACTATCACAAGCAGGAGAAAGTTTTCTTCATAGTATTCATCCTAAATATATGTCTATGTTGCAATTTAAATATATTATTCTTTTCCTATCAATCATGAACATGGGGAAGAGATTGCTTCCTTTTTGTACATCTTTTACAGTATCTAAAGCCTATTATTATTACAGCTGTAGGTAGATAAAAAAGAAAATTCTATCAAAATATTCAAGAACTCTTCTTCATTTTCATGCATAAAATAAGGATGTTAATGACATACATTGTATTTTTGATTGCAATACTTTTGCTTAGAAAACCACTAAAAATTTCAGAAGCAACAGAAGTCTTCATGTCCAAATTAATCCATTCTAGATACTAAACTAATAAACTAACAGAAGCAGCTTAATTTTTAATAGATATTATGACTTTTTGATACTTTTAATAGGTTTGGGTTTTGTTTTTGTTTTTTTTTTTGGTTTGTTTTTGTTTTTTTTTTTTTTTTCATGTAGACAGCATAACAATAAGAAATTCTGTGACAAATTAATGGGTTTTAGGATAACATACTACTCCTCAAGTTTAACAACTTTGTGATTGAATTTTGACTAATCTAGCTATCATTCTTTGTATCCCAATATTAGTATTGCATAATATTTAACCTATACTTAACACTTCATATCATAATTCATCAGTTTCAGACAGCACACTGCTCTGCAGGATCCCAGCCAGCTTTTATAGAGATATTGGGAGTAATAGCTTCACCTACTTCACTCTCTTTTACATTGTGCGTATCATCATAGTCTGTGAACATATCAGAGATATAAAACCTTTTCTTTTGCAGATATTAAGTTTCCCTTGACATTTCAAGGCTGCTTTTACTATCACTCCAGTTATTTTATGTATCCTACTTTTGTGAAAAGCACCAGGATACCATTAGAGACAAATATCCAGGACAGAGCAGAGTTTTTCACTGTAAAACCAGCCTTTGCCTCACATCATACTGTTCCCAGCTAGGGGCAAGCTTACTGACAGGGTTGCAGAAGAGCATCCTGGTGTTGCTTTGGTTTGTGTGATGAGGAGAACTTGTAGCTCCTCAGTATCACGATGGCTGCATCCTACCTCTCCTAGGACAAACTACAGAGGTTTTAGAAGACTTAGAAGGCAAAAACCAGACTCCAAGTCGTAGCACATGTAACAGTAATATTAGAGAATTATTTGCCACCTTAATCTATTTCAATCCACAAAAAGCATACTAGAGATGTTTATAAAAGACAGGGGAACCACCTCAAGACAGCACAGTCTAACCACTTGCCCTTCACTGTCCCTACTGTTTCAGAGGGCAAGACTGGAAACATTCCACCCCATCAGATAATCTGGATGTAGATTATGACCTGCTTTTGCATACATGTTCATATGAGAAGAATTAATCTGAATACTCAACAGAAAGAACTACTGAAATCAGAAACATTTTGAGTGATTTGAAACTTCACTGAACTGAAACACAGCAGAATGCCTCCATGAGAGTGACACATGAATCTGTATATGACCAACATCTCAATATAGTCTGAAAACAACTGTGGAAAATACAACTGCAATTAAATAGTGAAGCTTTCTGAAGACTATGCAAGATACATATCTGTTGCAGACAGAGGCAATGAAAGATGTAAAAATGAAAGTTTTGCCTGTATGCTATGCTCGAGGGAATTTGAACTCATTTTTTTCTACCATTAAGAGTGCCTTTGTATAAAAGATGAGGCCTTTGAGATACTAGAAGTTCTGCTTCCTGAAGTGACAGTAATGCTTTAGGTTGCAAAATATATGTTTTTTAAGAGGGTGTTTTGAAATACACAACTTGGTGTGTAAGACAGTGAATGCGTTTAGGGGTTTCAAGCAGAGAATTACTGGATTATTTTGAAGACTTGTAAGAAGCAAAACCCAAAAATCTTATTTCAAGGTCACTTTAAAATCCAGCCCATCTCACCAGTGAGTAGAAGTTGTGGAAGCAGTGAATCTCTGCTGGTTGGTGAAATTAGCTACCAGAACCTGTCCAGGTTGCCTGTAGAGTAAAATTGCTTATATCAGAAGTATGCAGATAATTGGCATGCTGGTTGGTAGCTTCAGCAAATAGGATAAGTAGTGAAGTGCTGAACTACCTCATCAGCGCTAAAGGTATCTGTTACCTTTTTCCAGCTGCAGTAAAGGTGTGCTGCTGGTGAGAAAGTGGCGCTCTTTAAACTGCAGTGGCCTTGCTGTGTATGTTTTTGAAAATACACTCTTAGTATTTCAGTCACTGACACTAAACATGGGGTCCTAACATTGTCTGAGACCATTTTTCCACTCGAAGTTGCATTGGTGACTTTAAAAAAAAAATCATAAAATACTGTTCCACAAAACTAAACAGGTAATTTAAAAAGCAAATCTTGTTTGCTTTAATAATGATGATGGTACTTCCAAGCCAACTCTCCTGTCTGTAGCTAGCTCAGGGACTCCATTCCAATCGACATGAATACCTACAAGGCAAATGTTGCTAAAGGCATAATCAGGGCTCCATCTTTTCTGTCCCTTTCAGAACATGACATGCATATATCCACAAATGACCTTAACAGAATGAGATATAATAATTTTACAATAAATATGCTATTTGGGAGACAGACCTGGTTCTAGTGTATAGTTGCATCTTTTTAAGCAGTGAAATTTAACCATAATACAGAGCAGCATGAGCATTGCTACAGGAGATATTAAGAATTCCCACTCTGGTTTTAGATCAGCTTAAATATGCAAGCTCTTTTCTCCCCCTCACATTCCAGTTTGCAGAAAAAAATCAAAATTACTTGTTAATTCAGAATCCCTTAAGGATTTGAAAAAAAGTGTGGAGATAAAAATATTTTCATCCCAAATATATTAGAACCACATGTTCTGAAAACTGAATGCTGAGAAATTCTGAACGAGAGTCCGTGCAAAATCTCAGTGAGTCCACAAGCCACTTTGGACCAAGAGGCTAATTTAGGTAGTGCTCATGATAAGATAACTCCTTTAACTTTCTAAAGATGGACACTCAAAGCCTGAGCTACCTAAAAATAAGAATTTTCATTAAAAAATGGGACCTGACTATGTTTTGGTGAGGAAAGATAGGAAGCATGCTCAGAGATCATGTTTCTGTAAATTAATTGTCATTTTATTACCAATTGTCTCACCAAGCCATCAAGTATATTCTAGCTTTGGATAATGCAAGCTCAGGATCAATATTCCAGAAACTGCTCTTTGGAGATTTAGGACTATCAGTAAAACTGAAGAGTGAATTTCCTTAAAAATTTTTACTGGCAATGTTTATAACAATTATAGATGATTTCCACATGCTGATGGTGGTGGAATAAATTATGTGTCTTAAAAGTACCAATATTGGAGAATAACCCTTAAAACAAATACTGAGTAGAAAATACCTTTTTAGCAGAGACTTGCAAAGCAGAGAAGTTCAAGTATGAAAAACCAAGAACCTTTCTGCATCTTGTTGTACTAGATGTTATGTTTTTACAGCATCTGTTTAGATTTTTGGATAGAAACATTTTTCTACACTCGGGCTCACAGATACAATTTACAAATCTTTGCTTCAAGGAGGCCATCCTACAGATATCACACAGTCCAGAATTTTTTATCACATTAAATGCTAAATTCAGTAGCTATACAGTGGATCAGCTATGCTGTCTTTGGAAACTCACTGATTTCTGGCTTCCAGATTATGAGAATTAAAATGAGATAATAAAATTATTTTCTATTAAATCTAATGAGAGTCAATATAAACTGGATTTTGAGAAATGTTCTAAAAAGCCAGATATTTCTTTGAATTTTGACTTTTTTGCAATGGCAATGAAAATAAGTTTCATACACTGAAGCAAACTATAGGAATTAATGAAAAAAGCTTGAAATCTGAGTTGTTTTTTCTGTTAAATTAAACTATTTACTGCTTTTCCACAAAAAGTTAATCTTCTCAGTGTAGTAACTAGGAAAAAGCCCTGAAAGCCTTTGCTAGCTTTTGCCATGATGTGGAGGGCACCACCAGCCCTGACTGACCCTGCCTGGACCCCCGGGGTTTCCCTGCTCCCCAGGTCCCAGGACCTCATTTCATCCCCCAGGGCTGTCAGCCCCGGCCCCAGTGATGCCGCAGCAGGGCCAGTCTCCAGCCCCCCACAGCCCTGTCCTGCTCTGCCACGGCCCCACCACAGCACGGAGGTACCTGATGACCAAGACTGGGGCTGCCCCTGGTGCACCCCCTGGCTGCTCTGCTCCTGGATGAGGCTATGGCATGGCTACAGGCTGTGGGTAGGCAACAACAGGGAATTCTGGTTTATATCTGACAGATAGTTCATGAAGAAGTTTGACACCTCTGCTGTCTAGTTTATAAGTTTGATTTAGGTCAAGAAGACACTGTTTTATAAAAGACCTACTATAAATCTTTAGAAAAATGTGTTTAAGACTCTACCATGAACTATGCTACTTAAATGAAGACTTTATCTCTGATACAGTAGAATTGACTTTTAAGTCTTCTGTAATAGTAGTATATTCACATAAAAGTAAATAATGAGATGGTAAATCTTTATTTTCAGTTGCTGTCTAGGAGATTCAGTAGGGTAAACAAAAAAAAAAAAAAAGTAGCTTTAGAGCAAAATGTTTGTTTTAAGTAACTAAATAAATAAAAAAAAAAATTAAAAATCTCTGTTACTGAATGATCACTCTTGGCAGTTTACCAAACAGGAAGATATACCAGCTAGCTGAAGTTGCATAACGCACCTCCTGAACAGAGGAATGCTCAGAAAACTCACGTTAACAAGAAAAAATACTATGTAGTCTTTAAAACCATCATTAGCCTTTTAAATTTTTCATTCAATGCTAACAACAACTGGGAATAAAAGTAACAATGACTATTCAGAGCAACCACCCTAGAAAGAATATTTAGGCATGTTTATCCTAATTATTTGACATTCACAACAGACTGCAGGTAACAAGACACTCCTTTGAAGACATAACAAGCAAACTGGGTTGTAGAGTCATGGCAATCCTTTTGTCTTTCCAGAAGAAAATGTAGCTGAAGGACATAGAGATTAACTTCCCAAAAGCAACTGTGTCTGGTTTAGATAAAGAAAAAACAGTCTCCAAAGCTGTAAAATCTGCATCCTTCTCAAATGGCTCAAAAATAATCTTTAAATCAAAATGTTAATTCTTAAAAGACTCTTTGTTTAATGCTATTATGTTTTGAAATTATGTTGAAATTGCTAAAACAAGTTGCGAGCCTACTTCTATTCAGTTTACGTAAATTAATCACTTGAAAATATTTGTTTTACTTAGGGTAGGATTCACCTACATTTATACATTTGAGCAACCTGATCTAGTTGAAGGTGTCCCTGCCCATGGCAGGGGAGGTTGGAACTAGATGATCTTTAAGGTCCCTTCTAACCCAAGACATTCTATTTCTATGATACATGCACAATTCAGATGTTCGTGTCTAAATTGTGATAGGGATTCAAGCTATCTTATCTCCCTAAATTCCATCTGCAGGCAACAGAGGCAAATACCCACTTCCAAGATACAGGTCATCTAATCTACATTAGACACCTACTTTAAAATGAGATAAACTGGGCTGCAGACATGCTAGTTACATTCTGTTGATTGCAAAGGGAGCTTAGACAATGAATTCATATCTTGAGATCTTAATAGCAAACCCATATGTTCAAGTCAGATGAATGCCTTCTTTATGGTCACAGAGAAATTATATACTTTTAAAAGAAACTAGGGTTTAACATTTGAGGATATAAGCAAACCTGTGCCCTGTTGAATAAAAATTTTGGGTTATTCAGCACAGAGATATAATCAGAGAGTATGATATTGAAATATGACACTGTACCAAGGGAAGTTGAGATATGACCATTTAAAAAAGAAGCTGCTTTGGACAAACACTGTTAGTAAATCTAATCTTGATATCTAATTGTTATAAACGAACCATCCATTTTTATTCTCCTCAGCCATGTGCTTGAAATGGAGAAGATAACCATTGTATTCAAATATGATCTCTCTCCAACTTGAATTTGCTTATCCTTGTTTATCTATCTTGTCTATTCAGCCTCTGAAAGACTATAGTGCTTTTTCAGCCTCTCCAGTGCACATCTCAACTGCCCCCAGACCTATATCTGGGCTGTGTGGGTGCAGAGAAGGGGGGATAAAGCAAAATCTCATATTAAGATTTCCCAATGAGGAAAGATTTTTAAATTACAAAACACAGGGTTCATCCTAAACCTACAGCTTAAATAATGAGGTGATTCAATTTCAAATTATTACCCTTGTCATCATACTAACCTGAGAGTTTTACTTCAACCCCGAAACAACTTGATCCTCCCACTGTATTGTTCCTTATTCATATGGCAAAAATCAGGCAGAGTGTAGGGTTTTACACATCCTTATATATCTTTTATAATTAAAAAAACATTAGTTGCTGTTTCTAGCTTTAGAAAATTGCTACACAAAATATCCAGTTTAAAATAAAAGTGGAAAAGAGGGGAAACAAGAAGCCATATCATGCATTTTGATTCTTGGCTGCTTAAGAGCTTTCAGTCTTATGGAAAATTCCCCCTGAAATTCCAGATTCTTTTGGATTCCAGAGTTGAGACTGTTTTGGGTAGGGGGTGTGTCTTCCGCTGTTGTTAACAAGAGTAGCATTTCTTCTACACACGTCTTGAGATCATTCTGCAGTTGAATTTAAGAAGGGTGGACCAATAAATTCTTAGTCCACATCACACTACATGTGAAAAGAGATGGTTTCATGTGGTAGCTAAGATATGCAGACCTTCAGCTGTGACAAGCTCATCACTTACGCTCCCAAAAATTACCAGCTGCAAAAATGTGAATATATTCCCAACTCTTTGGAACAGCTGGAACTTCAAATCCAGTCTTAGATCCCAGATTTCAGAATTTGCACAACATTATTAGTTCACACAGACATTTGAGAGTGTAAAGAATGGATTTCTTCTCCATAAGAAATACATACTGCTGGAATCCCTAGGCACACAATAATTCAAATCTTACTATGACTTCTCTGATAGTAAAAGATTTCATACTGGCCTCCAATATCCCACTGAACTTTCTCAGAGATTTTTAGTACTACATACTCACTTATCGTTCAGTTCATCACTTTGTATGTTCCTTCAATTATAATTTCAATGCATCTCAATTAATTCTTCTACCATAATCCCAATTTTGCATCCAAGGAATAACTTACTTTCTTGTATTGCATTAAGAATTTCTGAAAAGTCCACATCTGTCTTCTGTATGTCTGGTTTTATCCATATTTGCGTTTCCAGCCGGTTAACCTGCAAATCCTTTCTTCCTTCTGAAGAAATTGAAGAGATTGATGGGGTTTGTGACAGTGCAGTAGAAAATCCAGCCAAGGGGCTTTCAGGTGAGGGAACATATACATCAAATAAAGCTACTTAATACTTTTCCCCCTAGCAGAAACCATTTTGTTTTTTGTTTTGTTTTGTTTTGTTTTGTTTTTTTTCAAATCAAGCAGCTTTAGATAGAACATGGACTGATTTGAAGCTAAACAGAATGAAACAACGACATTCTCTGCTATCAGCGATGAGGCAGAGTCACCACCAGCAAGTCCTTTGTTCAGGTGAACACGTGCTGCCATGCCATGAGCATCCCCCTCACCATACCATCTACAAAATTGACTCCAAAATGTGAAAACAGACAAGAGGTGTTGTTACAAATGAAACAGCACTGCAGGAACAACCAGGCTCAAATAAAACACACTAACACACAAAGAAGGAATTAAGTCTCAAGACAGACGAAAAGAGCATGGACACCATGTTTCAGCCAAAGGACACCATAAGTTTTCACATGCCAAGCTGATGGCATGCCATGGTCTAGGAAGCACTCCAGTACTCCAGTCCATTTTGAAGGGGGTTACACGGGTATGTAATGGTTGCTGTTTAAAAGCACTGCAGAATCAAAACATAGGCTATTGGGTCACAGTTTCAAACCTATTTGCACATGTAAATAGGCACAAGATTTGTCCATTTCAGTGTTCTTTTAACACGAGTAAAGAAAGCAGGAAGCTTTGAAAGCACACTTTCCACGCAGAGAAAGGCAGATGCCCTTCAAGAGTAGACAGGAAAAGGTACTGGGCAAACGGGCTTAAGCTGCTGGTTACAGTGTACTTGGGTACAGCCAGAGGCAAAGAGGGAGCTACTGGGTATCTGACTGGCTTTTAAAGAGTGGCAACAAAACCTTTCACAAAGGCATCTGTCAGAGGTGATGCTCCTGAGTAACTAATACACAGAGTTAACAGAGAGCTGCAGCAGTCAGGGAGATACCTGGGAAAGAACTTCACAACAAAAAGGCCATGGTGGAAGAAGAAACCTTCAGGCCATTTGGTCTCTTACTGTGCCTTCACTAGAGGCTATTACTCATGCTTTTGATGAAAGCATTTTCCTTTCTTCTACTGTCTGCCTGTAACAAGCTGGTCTTGTTTTGAATTCCCTCCTAGCCCACTGTATCTTCTCCCTCCCCTCGCCAAATTACTGCCTCACCACTGCCTTGATGAGAGCTATGAATTATATTTCTGGGCACAAAATTACTCAACCCTTTAAAGACCTTTCTTCACTTTTTGGAAATACAGATCTCAAAATGGGTATATGTACACCTGTTTCAGCCTTTTATTTCCCAATATTAAAACATTATAAATTCAAACCATCTCATGATTGCCCCAATGTATTCTTTTGTTCCACAGCAAAGACCCACTGTGCATCAGAGACAGCTCCTCTTGTAGATTCCTGTAAAGTGATCTGTCACAGCAGCAGCAGGAGTCAGTATTTAATGATGTCGAACAAAGAGAATTTCTGAAGTGAGACAGCTGATTATTCATGTAATAGCAGCCTAGGGAAATCTGCAGATGGCCTCAGAGGTGGGAGGCTAGGATTTGCCCCAGAAGAGAATTCTGGGGACAAAGAAAAAATACTGCAGCTGATGGAAAAGACATACAAACAACAGGATGGAGGGAGAGAGGTAAGTAATGGACAGCAATTCAGTTAAGCAGCTTTGCAAGCAATATCATTCAGTTTCATTGCAATACTCAGCTACCACTTTTAACATATACCATCACATATTTGCAGCCTCAAATCCACCAGCCTTTCTTCTCCATTTCAACCCTAGTTAGAGCAAAATAACAACAGTACTGACAAACATAAAATACACCCTCCTCCCCAAAGCCCTCCATCCCTGTTACACCCAGTCACCGCTCCTCAGAACACATGAAGGCAGCAGGATCCCTGCAGCATCTCCAACAGATCAGAACTAATTGGGCCAGGGAGAGAAGAAGCAACAGCCAGCCAGCAATGGCTGTCCCAAAGTGCTGATATCAGATGGACTATCTAACCACAGGCCTCTTAATAAAATGAAACTGCTGGATAATGTACATATTCAATTTCAAAGCCATTTAATTAATGAAAAATACTGTCTAGAAAGTGGAGAGAAAATGTCCAGCTTAAACCTGACTTTTGTTCAGCCTAACACAGTTTACAAAGCCAAGACAAGTTCTGCTGCATTCAAATCTCCTCTCCTGTATTTGACTCATTTGCAGTACGGGGGGCTTCCAGCAAGTCACACAAACGACAGTCCATACGCTCCTCTGATTCACAGTAGCCTTAACATCTGGTCTCACTGCACAAGTATCAGACGAAAAACATCATCCTCTGATTTCATTCAAAACTGTAAGCATAATCTTATACCAGTCGTTTGTGATTTAATGCATGGCTAATCACAAACTTGCCTTCTACAACACAAGGAGAAAAATAAATGAATCTGCCGACATCGTACCTTCTAAATAAGTGGTTGCAGGAACACTTTATTCTCCTGTGATCTTCATGGTGTCAATAAACACACTTGAATCAGGGCACATCTGCTTCTACCTCAACATTCTACTCTCTCAACATCCACTCTGCAGGAGGGAGAGCTGCACTTCTTAGATGAGAGAAACAACCCCTAGGTGATGGGTTGTGGACTGACCAACTTAATGATTGCTGATTTGTTGGCAGTCAGAGGTTTTAGCCCAACAGCTCTTTGGAAAAGTCTGCAGTGTTCTCTCCCATGTCCAAAAGAGATTTATTTTCTATATCTTCCCAAACATCTCCAATACAACAAACCAAGATAGTATCTGGTGTCAGTGTTGCTACTGACAGATCACTAGCCTGGCTTTAGTATTTCCTTCTTGCTTTAGCAGCTGCTGATTTATGTTTTATCAGTGACAGGTCTCACTGAGTAAACTCTAAGCAATATTGCCTGGGAGATAAGGGAGGAAAGACCCTCTTTCTATAGAAACATGAGAAATAAACAAAGTGAAGTAAATATTAGGCTTATTAAAATTTATGTGATTTTATTAAAAGATCAGTCTGAGATTTTTCTCAATTTACTGAGATGTTTTACTTCAACTGAAGTAATATTTTAAATTAGCTCATGGCATTCACTCTGATTTACTTGTTGATGCATAAAGTAGTGCATAAAATAACATACTTTTCCTTTATTTGTTTTGAAGTGTCTCTACTAATTAGGTTAGGAAAACAAATGAGATTTTTAAAAGGCACTTCATTTTTAAAGGCTGAATGAGACAGCTTGTTGTAAACCAGAATTTTAAAATAATTATAAATATTAAAATTAACAAATTATGTAGCAAGGTATTTAATATGACACTAATGTTAAACAAGGTCATTCCCACTGCAGTGAGAGAGATTTTGTGTCTGCTTAAAATTAAGAACATACTCAGGTTCTTTGCTGGATAAGTCCTTGTTACATGTATCTAATATCTATCCAGTTATCACCACCAGCTTTTTAGACATGAACTTTACAAACAGAAGTCTAATTTTTTTGCACAGTAAATACCTGGAGCCAGATTTTGTAAGCCTGCATATTTTTATACATGAGCTGTGATGTACAAATCATATTTGCAGATGGATAGACTCACATTGTGGTCTGAAATAGAGCATGAGCACTTGGGTGCACAGAAAAATGTACATAGTTTCAGTATTTGGCACCAAAATAAAGAATATAAAATTAAGCTGATGGAACAAGTGCTGCTGTTTTTCAGAGTGCAGCAAGGGTCTCATATTTACTCCACATTTTTGAATTAACATGTGAGAACAGAGCTGGTCTTTGTAATTCACTGAGGCAGCCAAGGATTCTTGAAGAGATTTACTACTTAGGTTCTGATCAGTTGGAATAGAAATACTTGACTGTTGATTTCTGAAATCACAGTCTCTCCACTTTGCCTGCCCTCATTTCCAATTAACTCAGTGAGTGCAAACAAATGTTTGTCTACAGCTATGGAAGTTTCTGGAGAGAAAAACTGAGAGCTTCAAAAGGTCTTTCTGAAAAGGCAGCTAGCCAGCGACTTCTATCACTATAGTGAGCTGATTTTTATTATTATTATTTTTAATAATTTTGGCACCAATCACGTACTTACACAATGGTTGTACTTCATCATGGATATTAAATACAAGTAGCAAATAACTGTTATGGCATGTGGGTAGATGCTCCTATCACAGGGCCATCTACCTCTAACTCTGCAGTATTTACCAAAAGCAATTATAATTCTAATATGAGCAGTTTTGTTTTGCTACATTGAGTAATGCCTGTGGTTTTTACCGAGAAGTTGCTTCTTCTCACCAGAGCCTCTTCAAAGCAAGCAGAAAGCTGATTTGTATGGTGCCCTTTAGACTAAAGGCAACCCAAGGTCAACATGGGGTGAAGGATCACCCTTGCACATACACATTTTTTACTGGCTTCACACGTTGAGTGCTAGGCAGGTCATCTACAGCAAAAGCACAGTTTTAAATTAAAATTGTTTAAAGCCTTATCTCTGTGTGTTAGTCAGAGCTATACACATGTGAAATCAAAAGCTTTTGTCATGGTGTGAGTTCAGAGGGCAACTGAGAAACACACAGCTGCTCACTTCCTCTGCTACCAAAAAATCCGACCACTCACTCAAACCCAGGACAGCTATATTGATCTCAAATCTGGCAATATATTTTCTGTGACAAGAATGAAACAAAATGTACACCATAGTGGGTCTTCCCAGCATCCATCCTATGACTGTACTGGACAACACACCTTAATGCATGAAAAACACATTGGTTCAATTATCGCATAAAAAAAAAAAAAAAAAAAAAAAAAAAGCTGTTCTCTTAGTTATAGGATCCATTCAAATATATATTAATATACATTAATATACACGTCTTCCTAGAAAGATAAAATTGTCCTGAAAGCAGTGGCTAAGAGATAGCTGATTATGTATCATGAGGTAGAAGGCTGGCATGTCTCATAACAAGTCTTTTA